GTCTCTCTCTATCAAATAAATAAATAAAATCTTTAAAAAATAAAAATAAATTGGTTGCCATCTCTCTCTCTTTTTTTTTAAGATTTTATTTATTTATTTGACAGAGCACAGGTAAGCAGAGCGGCAGGCAGAGCGGCAGGCAGAGCGGCAGGCAGAGCGGCAGGCAGAGCGGCAGGCTCTTCGCGGAGCACGGAGCCAGACGCGGGACTCGATCCCAGGATTCTGGGATCATGACCTGAGCCCAAGGCAGACGCTTAACGACCGAGCCACCCAGGCGCCCCTGGATGCCATCTCTTGCAAGAGGGGTAGTGATGTGCCTCCCCGGAGGCCCCATGGCCCCTGAGTGTCTTTGCTCTACCGTTTCTGCTTCTGCCCCAGCACGGGAGGGGGTGGGTGTGTCCCTGCGGGTGTGCAATGATAAGATGTCACCTCAACAGTTGGGACTAATAGTCCATCCCGGTATAGGGCTCGACACCGGCCGGCACCAGCGGGAAGCACCCTTACCTCTCTAGGCAAACCGGGCGCGGGTTCCCGTGCAGACCGCAGAGCAAAAGAGGGAGAGCTGCCCCCAGGGGTCCCCCTGGCGCCTCCCGCCGCGACAGCTGGTGTCTCCCACCAGCCTGGAGCCGCCTGTGATTTGCATACCCATGATGCACCACGAAGGGACAGTTTCACGATGCTGGAGTTCCAACCCCACGGAGATTTGTGAACTGTTTTAGGGCATACTGCCTGTTAGAAATATATGATCCGTACAAATTTCAGGCAGGGAGGACGAACCGTGCAGACACTGAACAACCATAAGTGAGCTAAGTGTTGTATTGTTCTAGGAGGTTCCAAAAGGGGATGCAAACGTATACTCTGGTTTCTCTTCAGATCGTATAAATCTTTCGCCTTTTACTAAAGATTTCCGTGGAGAGGAACAGTTGTGAGTTCTTAATCAATTTTTTGAGGCCTCTTTTAACGAGGCTCATTTTTTTTCGTGTTTTAAAAAATAGATCTGAAAGATATTTGAGTTTTCTGATTGTGATTAGAATTATATTGCTAGTTTAGCTGGGAGTTTGTGTTTGAATACCAGCTCCAATAAATGCATATTCTAGTTCTATTAGTGTGGTGTTTTTGTTTGGTTCTATGCGAAAATATTCCGCGCAGAATATGTTCTTCTGCATGTTTTTTACTTACGTGTAGGTTATTTTTCTTACTTTTTTTTTTTTTTGCGAATTTGTTTTTTGTAATACTCAGTTGTAGGTTATTCTTAACTCATTCTTTAGAAGAAGAAGGACCAGAGAGAGAAAATAAATTCATGTTCCTCCCAATATTTTTGGCTTGAGTTACAGCAGGAAGGGGTAAGCACAGTAACTCCCTAGCATCAAACTCCCTAGCAGGAGACTCCCTAGATGTCTCCGCAGCAGTTTGGTATGACTTCTTTCACACTGATTTACCCCCATCCAACTCTCTAGGCTGGTTTTTCATGCTTAAGATAGCAGATTCCTTACTGTAAAGAAGGGGCTTAATTTACCGGTAGAACCAAGCACTGAAAAAAAGTGGGTAATATAATCTGGATAAGTAATATACAATCTCAGTGATAAGTGCCATACAGAAGCATTATGAGAGATAGGTGGCTAGGGCTAGCCACCAAATGTGTCCTCAGATTTTGGACCTAGCTCCTCCCACCAATCTGCATCTTCTCGACCAAGCTCATTTAATTCTCTGGCTTTAAGTAAATACCATCTCATAACTGGTGACGGTCCATAAATTTACAGCCATCAGCAGGTCCCATTGATAACCATATTCAAAGCATACACTTCATGCTGCTAACATTTTACCTACTCCGCCGTGGTCCTAGAAAAGCTCTTCACGGATTCATGCGAAAACACCTCCCTAACTGTTCTCCTTAGACTGCATCCCGTCCCCTCCTACCACTTTGTCCCAAACTTCCACATAACACACACAGAGAAACTGGGTTTTTTTTTTGTTACTTTTGAAAAAGATTTATTTGAGATTGCACGCGCAAGTGGGGGAGGGGCAGAGGGGGAGGCCGAGGGAGAACAAGCAGGCTTCCCCTGAACAGGAGCCCATCCGGGATCTTGACCTGAGCCTAAGGTCAGCCGCTTAACTGACTGAGCCACCCAGGTGCCCCTACCTCATACTCTTTAAACCATCATATTCCTTCACGACTATCCACTCTTCATCAAACCTAGCATAAAAACACTCAGGTTTAACCATTTCTTCTGGTCTTCATTTCCTTATAAAGACTCCCATATTACTAAAACTTATATTGGGGCGCCTGGCTAGCTCAGTCCAAGGAGTATGCGACTCTGATTGATCTTGGGGTTTTTTCATTTTATTTTATTTAAGATTTTTATTTATTTGACAGAGAGAGACACAGCGAGAGAAGGAACACAAGTAGGGGGAGTGGGAGAGGGAGAAGCGCCTTCCCGCGGAGCAGGGAGCCTGATGCGGGGCTCATGACCTGAGCCAAAGGCAGACAACCGACTGAGCCACCCAGGCGCCCCTGATCTTGGGGTTGTATGAGTCCCACGTTGGTTGTAGAGATTATGTAATGAAACATCTTAAATAAATTTGTATGCTTTTCTCCCGTTAATCTGTCTTTATCAGTGTAATTTTCAGACCCAACAAGGGACCCTAAGAGGGGAAAGGAAAACTTCTTCCTCCCCTACACTACCTTTTCTTTTGGCAAAAGGAATCGTGCTCTACTTGGTCCGGACTGAGCTTTTTTCCAAAGGTCACAGATATCTTTCTACATCATGGTAAGAATATACCATAATCAGTCTTCTAGGTTAAACCAGGACATCTAGTTTGTTTTTGATTCTCATTATCCAATGCTGTCATGAAGTGGTACTATGAATAACCACATTTTCAGACTTGAGAGATAATGCCAAATAACTGTCTTTAATTCATGTGCAACATATTTTTGTATAAAATCCCGGAGACAGAAGTTTTAACCTTATTTTCTTCTAATCGACTGTCCCTCATTTTAGATTGATAGTGTCTTGTTTTACAGCTTTTAAACTCTTTATGGAATAAAATAGTATTTAAATAAGGAAATAAAGTCATCACTGAACATTTACAGAGCACTGATTTTGTGACAGGGACTGAGGAACAAGAAATGAATAAGACGCCACTCTAGGCCCAGGGATCTTTCAGGGAGATTCAGATCCTCAGGAAGACAAAATGTGTAATGAATGAAAGAGGTGGCATAGGGAGTCTTTAATAAATAAGAGAGTGAATGCACAGCCAGAGGGTACTGCCTTCAGAACCAGTGATTTAATGCAAAGGTAGTAGTTGAGAAAAGAGTTACCACTAGTAATTCTGAGTGTCCTGAGAGTGAATTAGAGTGTATTTTGTCCTGAGAGTAATGGGGATGTTGAGTGGCTTCATAAAGGGAGTAGGGCTGACATCTTAAGTCTGGCTGCTGTGTGGGAAATGGCAGGAGGAGGGGCATGGCAGGCGCAGAGGCAGTGCACTGGAGTTAAACATCTGCCTTTGGCTCAGGTCATGGTCCCAGGGTCCTAGGATCGAGTCCCACGTCGGGCTCCCTGCTCAGCCGGGGCCTGCTTCTCCCTCTCCTCCCCGCTTGTGCTCTCTCTCAATATCTCTGTCACTATCTGTCTCTCTCTCTCAAATAAACAAATAATAAAAATCTTTTAAAAAAAGAGCTTGTTAAATTCATTCTGAGCACAGATAGGACTGGGTGAACTAAAGCTAAGAGAACTGAACCAACTGGAAAGATCTCATAGGGGAAGAAAAATAACTTTCCCTTTACTCTCTGGGCTCTTGCCTGAGACTCTTCTAGTAAGAGACAGATTAACAAGAGAAAAACAAGTTTATTAACATGTATACCTCATGTGTACATGGAAGATACCCAGGGAAAAAGGAGTAACTCCCTGAGGCGGCCTAAAATACCTGCTGAAAAACCATCTTAAGCTAAAGAGGAAAGAAAAGTGTAGGGAGGCCACTTATGGGAAAACCACCAAGAAAAGCAGAGTAAACAAGATAAGGTTTGTTAAACAGATTTCAATGGGGTGCCCTCTCCACTAAAATCCTCCTGTGAGTTCATCATCCTTCTTTTCCTGGTACAGAGAATGAGACACCATTACAAATGGAGATTTCCTTTTTAAATATAAATTTCCCTTCCAAAAGGGTAACTTCTACTCTGTTTCCAGAGCTTCCACTCTTTCTCAAAATAGTTTAAAATAATCCTTAAAGAGGCATCTTTTGGGTTGGCACATTCTGCTACCCTTCAGTCTCTCAGAAGGTGGAAGCCACGGGAAGGAGATGTGAGAAAGAGGAATAAGGCAAGGCTGAGATGCAGGTTTCTGGCTTAAGACACCCACGTAGGGACGCCTGGGTGGCTCAGTCGTTAGGCCTCTGCCTTTGGCTGAGGTCGTGATCTCAGGGTCCTGGGATCGAGCCTGGCATCCAGCTCCCTGCTCGGCCGGAGCCCTGCTTCTCCCTCTCCCCCTGCCTGTGTTCCCTCTCTCCCTGTGTCTCTGTCAAATAAATAAATTAATTAATTTAAAAAAAAAAAGACACCCAAGTAGATGAGAAACGATGGGGGCAGAAGTTGGGAAAGATGAGAAGGCAGCTCAATTTTGAAATGAGTCTGAAGTGTCTGTCCAGCATTTGGAGAGAGATCTCCAAGACGTAGGTCTGGAATAAAGCGGGAGCTGAGCTGAAAACATGGGGGGTGGTTATAAAAGTAAACGCGGCAGGGCCCCGTGGCCAGAGGCCCAGGAGTTAGGATAAGGGTGCAAAGGAAATCGCTTTGGGGCCCCGCCCCACCAAGCCACGCCCACTCCCCCCCTCTCCTTCCCCTCCTTCCCCATCCCACCCCCGGGGCGGGGCGCAGAGCTGACCGCGGTTCTTCCAGCGCCCGGCTCGCAGGGCATGCTGGGGGCGGAAGCCCCCTCTGAGCGCCGGGCATGTTGGGAGCTGTAGTTTGGGACAGGCCAGAATTCCTCGCAAATTGGGGCCTTTGGTCACTTAAAGGACAGGTCCAGAAAGCAGTGATGCTCCCGGGGCAGGGTTCCCCTTCGGCGGCGGCACGGGGCGCCCCGGGCTGCATCCCCTCTCCGCAGAGCGTGGCACTTCCACGCCTCTACGATCTGCTCCACCTGCAGGGGAAGGCTGGTCATGGCGGAGTGCAGCAGTAACCCGCCTCGCCCCCTCAGACCCTGGGCTGCAACCCCCCACCCCCGCGCTTCTCCCTCCCCGCCCCCCCCGCCCCTGCTGAGTGGATCTGAGTTTGGTTCCCCGCATCCGCACCGGGATGAGCGGCTCCCGCTGATTCTGCTCTTCCAGGGCGCTCAGCTCCGCCGGGGCCAGTAAGGCCAGTCTCAGCTCCCGCACCACCGGGGCCGCCACCTCCGCCACAGGCCGCTCCAGCACGGCCTGCGAACGCCAGCCCTAAGCCCGGACGGGCTGGGTACCTGCCCCGCGACCCGCTTGCCAGGTTCCTGCGCCCAAGCCTCCTTCCGCACCCCCACCGCGGGGTCCCCGTAGCCCCCGCTCACCGCGCCCACGCGCGCCCAGCTCCGGGCAGCCAGGACCAGCTCAGCCTCGTCCACGCAGAGCTTGTCGCTGCGCAGCAGGGGCAGCAACGCGGGCGCAGACAGCTCCAAGAAGCCGCGGGTCCGGAGCGCCTCCTGTGGGTCCACGAATGGGTCAGGGAGGAGCAGAATGAGGTGTGAGGGTTTGGGAGTCTGAAGATGGGGAGCGATACCTGGCTGTGGGCCTCTATGAAGGCTATACAACAATCCTGCAGCGGCCCCAGGCCAAAGGTTACGGCAACCTGGGAACAGAATGAAGGGTGTCAGGTTGGAAGCTGGAAGGCCATGTAGTCCAGCCCTCCACACTGACGCCCACCTACAAGCCTGTCCAGCAACACCCACCTGCAAAGCCTCACAAACCAGCTCCACATCCAGCACTTTCACCACAAACTCCAGGCACAGCTGGGAACAGAAATGAAAGTGGGTTGTGCCAAGGTGTCTCTGCTCCAAGACCCTAGCCCCACCCCAGAAGCAGTGAGCCACCCAGACAACTAAGCAGCCACAAGCCCATCGTGACCTCCCAGACCGGGGGAGGCAAGAAATCACCAGGGGCTGAGACGTGGCAAGCCCGAAGGGACTAGAGACTAGCAGTCTACCTTGGGTCCAGCGGTCTACCTCCTAGCACATTCCCGGATAATCAGACTAGATGAAAGCCATGTGAAAATCCACTCTCCTTTTCTCCGAGGACGCTCATCTTCTTCCACTTGGACCCCTCCTGACTCAAAGATCCTTTCATTTTAACCAGAAACTTGAATTTCGTCCATGACCTATCCCTTTCACCCTCACATCCAGAAGAATGCTGGGTCATGCCAGTTCCTCTTCTCTCAAAGTCATGCACCTCCCTCTTGGGCTTCCACTGCTACTCATCCCTCCTGGACTGGGGAGCCTTTCTCATCTCTCCCAATCACTTCTCCCCTTAGCTCCAAATCCTCACTCCCTTACCTAAAACCTCCAATGAATCTCCATGTCCTCTGAGTAAAAAAAAGTCCAAATTCTCAAAGGTCCTGCATGATCTAGCCCCTGGTACCCTCTCCAATCTCATCTGTCTCCCTCCTTCTCTCACACCTTTGGTCCAGCCATACCAAATGGCTCACCAGCTCCTATTGTGCCTTAGTGACTAGAATGCCACTTTTCCACGCCCCCCTGAGCAAACTCCTACCTGTTCTAACATGAATGTTTCCTCCTCCAAGAAGTCTTCCCTTCTTTTCTCCCTGATGGCAAGACCAGAGAGACCCTCTGTAGAGTCTCGGCACCATATACCTTCATCTATCACCCTTCTTATACCTCTGGTTAAGGGTTTTCATGTGTCTATCTCTCTTTGAAGAACAAGCATCAAGGCTGACTTATCCTGGCATCTACGGCATCAGCCATAAACACCCCATATGCCCCCACAGCACACACACAGCACACACATATCCTTTTGCACACAGGCCCACGTAAATGCCCATGTACACAGAGGGCTGTCCACACTTCTGTGTTGGTACACGTGCCTCTCCAGGCCAGAGTGTGTGTGAGGCACGGTGTGAACGGAGCCCATAAGAGGGAAGAGAAATGAGACAGGGCCCTGCCATACAAACCCACCTCTCGCAGTTCCTCCAGCCCATACTCCACAGCCGCTGTCAGCACCTCCAGCACCTGCAGAGTGGGTGGTCGGGGGAGTGGAAGAGAGTTTCTCCTGCCCCTCCCCACCAGCCCCCCCCACTGCCACCCAGACCTCTGCCCCGAGGGCTCACAGAGTGGCGGTGCAGCCTGACACTGTTGGTGTACAGAAACTCCAGCACTGCCAGGAAGGCCTCCACTGGCACTGTGCTTAGCACCACGGGGCTAGGCATCCCAGGGCCCAGCTTTGGGCCCAGAAGTCGTTGGAAGAAGTTGCATCTACAGGCCAACAAGCACCGGTGGGCAAACACCTCCTGCCGTTCTTGACCGACCACAAAGCAAACATCACTGTGGGAAAGGGGAGGAGAGAACCAGGGAAGAAGAGGCTGGAGTCTTGGGTACAACCCTTACTTAGGCTTTGCCTTTGTCCATTCTGAGCCTTCATTTCCTAATCTGTCATACAAGGGACAGGTCTTAGTCCTTCCAGCCAAAGGTCTGGGATACACTTCCCTGGATTCTAGTCCCAGCTCCACCCTATGGTGCCTCAGGCAAGTGACTTTATACCTTTGAATCTCAGGTTTCTCATCCATGAAATGGGATAGTAATCCCAAACCCTCAGGTCTTAGAGGAGGTGGCAATGCCTGATCGCTGAGGGGGCACCAAGGCTGATGCAAAATTGATCCTACCTACCCCTCTCCTCCCCAGCCTGAGTTGAGGTAAGGGAAGCTCTTCTTGGCTCCTCCTCCATAGACTGCAAACTCAGCCTTTTTCAGCCTCCTCTAAGCGGGAGGGTGTGGGGGAGCGGGGGTGCAGATTGCATTGGCTGCAGACAGATGTGGCAGCGATACATCATCATGAGACCAGACCACATTTTCCATCTTCACAATCACTTCCGGCCCCAGCCTCTGGGCCTCCCAACAGCATAGATGGTAGGAGGCAGGAAATGAAGCTTGAGCTTCTGGAGCCTCCTAGTCCCAGGTCCAAGGCCAGGGGTTCCCCCTACTCACACCAGACTGCTAATCCCCAAAGCAGTAGGGTTATGGGAGTCACCAACCCTTGAGGAGGAGTCCAGCTTTCAGGCAGTGGGGACTGAAAGCTACATTCTAGTTCTGACCAGCCCTGCCCCCATATTCTATCCCTGCTTTCAGACACCACTAGCATCCTGGGCAGTGAGCCCTAGGCAGCACCCTTGAACTACTTCCTGTCTGAGACTCTGGCTCACTCAATTCCTTGAGCTTTGTTCCTCTTGTGACTCCCCAGTTCCCAGAACAGGGTCATCTGCTCCTCTGCCTCCCAGGGAGGGACTCAAGTTATATCCCATCCCTCAGGATCCAGAGGGACAAAGGGCTCTTCTCTGCCAGGAGCTCAAGAGCCAAAAAAGGAAGGCCTTTGCCTGAAGTCACACAGCTGCTCTGGGCTCCAGCTCCCACTGCCACCACCCCTCCCACCTCTGGCTCTCAGGACATCATGGACGATGAGTGACCTGTAGTCATTCTCCACACTTGACTTCCCCAGACTGAGTTCACCAGGGAGGAGGGTGGTCTTCCCCACCTCTTGTGTACCCAAGGCTTCCTCAGGGTCGTGGGGCCCAGCAAAGCCAGTTAGGGAAAACCCACAGACAGGGCCCGCCCCCTCACCTGTACTGGGGATTGTTGAGAAGGCTTCGGAGTGCCGTGGAAAAGGGTGCAGCCTCCCCGTGCACAACCAGTCCCGGGGGCTCCATGGGGGCGGGGCGGGGGAAGAACCAGGTAGAATAGGAGGCCTGGTGTCTCTTGGTCTGTGGGAGGCGGTAGGTGGGAAGGAGCAGGAGGCCTGGCCAGGCTTAGCAGCTGGTTGTGGAGACTAGAAAGGCCTGAGAGGAGGGGCAGGAGCTTGGGAAGCCTGTTTGCTGGGAAGCTAAAGTTTAGGGATGGGGCAGGAGAGGCCCAGGTTCCTTAAGAAGGCATCAGAGGCCAGAGGCTGGGCTAGGGGTTGGGACTCAGGGAGGGGGCCGAGAGAGGCTGAGGGTGGAGCAGACTGGACTGGGGAGGAGAGGCTGACGGGGCGGATGAGGCCCCAGCTGGGAGCCTGCCCAGGCGGCAGTGGGTGGGAAGCCTGTGGGTTTCCACGGAAACCGGAGCCTGGCTGGAGAGGCCCCGCCCATCTCCCACAGGCCCAGGGAAAACTTTAGCCCTCAGGGGGGCCGGAAGCTGAGTGGAGGGTCTTAGCACCCAGGCCCCTGCCTGTCTTGGGTTCAGAGTTCAAACTCCCTGCCTCTCCTACCCCTGCCCCCACATGCACACAGGGTCAGGATCAGGTTGCCAGGCCTGGGGAACCCCCCTCAACAGGGAAATTTCTCACCCCCATGGAGTTTTCAGGGCCCAGACTGGCTTGTCTGAGAGGGGGCAGTCCTGTCCCTTCCAGAGGGAGGTCAGGTGAGGTGGTGTCAGCTCTGACAGAGGCGTCATGGCCTCTGGCATCCCTAAAATGCAACCCCGGTTAGGGGGGTGGCACTCTCGGCACTCAAGATGTGTGTCCGGCTAGGGACAAGCCCCAGGGCACTTGGGTCAGCAGGGGTCAGGAGGCTGGGCTCTGGTTCACTGCCAAGTCCAGTCACCACTGTTGCACCAATGTTGCGTCAGGTCGGCTCCCACCAGCGGGGCGGATGGCCTCCCCTCCCCCTGCACACAGCCCCAAGCTGAGGAAGTCATCCAAGCCCCACCCCAGCTCTGCACAGGGAGCGGAAATACTTGTCCTTCTTGAGGCTGATGGGGAGACGACAGAGCCATGACATCCTCCTTCCTGTGGGCCCAGATCCTAATCCCTCAGCAGCCACCCCTGCAGGCTCAAGGTCTCCCCACATCCCAGGGTTCTGCAACTTACTCACAACTGAAGAGCCAGCCTTCACAAGGGGAGAAATGGACAGCAGCTCAAGAGCCCCGGGAGCCCCTCTCCACATCTGCCCCCTCCGTAGTCCTTGTGGTGGTAGTATGCCCTGGGTTCTAGACCCTTGTTATTCCCTTTTCCCTGATGACTCAGGTACCCCACACTCACCACCTACTCACAGTAGCACTTCCAGGTTAAGCCAGAGCCAGGACTGGAAGGAGGGAACCAAACAGGAGTGCCTGCCCAGTAACCCAGGGCAACTCCACAACACAGGGGGCCATTACCTTCCTGCCTGCCAGTCAGGCCAGCTGGGAGGACAAGGCTGTGGAGCTAGGAGACAGTTGGGAAGCCAAAAGCTGCAGGTGACTCAGGTGCCTGTGGGAGTTTCAGAAGAGGGCATTCATCCCAGAGCTGATTCTGCAGGTAGGGCCAGAGGCCAAATGCAGAGGGCAGAAGGAGCTTCCCGAGTCACCTGCCTCCAGCCTCAGCCAGTTGTAGGGGCGATCTTTGTGTCAGCCACCCTACAAGCAGATAGGGGTGGAAGACGGCTGGATTCAGTACCCACAGGGCTAAAAGGATCTGTGGGGTTGAAGGAGTTGGGTCTGTGTCTCCTTCTGGTTAGGGGTTTGAGGCACCACAGTCTAGGCTGAGGCAAACCAAGGGCAGACTTATCTCCCCCTTCTGCTGGCAAAGTCTGGGGGAAGGGAGAATAGGAGGTGTACTTAGAGCTCACTTAGCTAACCTCCATGGTGCCCACGGGAACGTGAAGCTCAAGGGAGCCGGGGCCAACCCAAGATGATAGTCTGAGCAGCACTGCTTATGTCCTTAACAGCCCTTAACCCTCGAAGCATCTAGGAATCCTCGCAGCCCCGGACTATTTGATTCATCTGTCCCCAGAACACAGGTAAGAAGGGGTTAGGGGATAAAAACCCTTATCACTGAGTGAAAGACTGGATGGGGTACAAAGATGGCCAGTTTAGGCCATCCTGTCCAAGTGTGGGTCTCCCAGCTGGCAGGTCCATGGCTGGCAGGTCTGTGCCCCCCGGACGCCAGGAGGAGGACACTACCAAAGACCCCGGGCTCAAACGATCGCCGGTGAGGCCTCCAGGCCACCTGCCCAGTATTGATGAGGCCCGACTAGCAGGTCTGGGCCCGTCCTCCCGCCGTGGCTCTGTGCTGGGCCCAGCCTCGTCCTTCTCACGTCGCAACTCGCTGGCAGGACCAGGAGCAGGTCCGGGGGGTCGGCGACCATCTCTGGGCCCAGTGCCTCCTCTGGGCTCAAGGGTTAGCTTCTCGGGGTTGCCCCTGGCCCCCCTGCGTGAGGTAGCGCCCTCCTACCGCACAGAGCCTGCGCCAGGGGAGCGCTGGGAGGCCGCGCGAGTACAACACTCCCTGGAGGCGGCGCTGGCCGCGCGGCTGTGCCACACATGCTACTCGGGCGCTGAGGCCGGGCCGCTGGCTCGCGAGCTGTGCGAGCTGCTGCGTGTGCGCCTGCGCGAGCTCTGTCCCCCACGCTACAAGCTCGTGTGCAACGTGGTGCTCGGGCCGCGCGCCGGCCAGGACGTGCACGTGGTCAGCCGCGCACTCTGGGACACCGAGCGCGACGGGCTGGCCTCCGCCGCCTTCACCAACGCCTCCCTCTTTGCCGTGGCTATGGTTCACGGGCTCTACTGCGAGTGAGGACGCCTCCAAGTTCTGCAAAAATGGTTTATTATCCCAGGATCCCAGGAGGAGGCCCTCCCTGGGGCTCAATCCCAATAAATAAATGTCTGTCAATAAATAAAAGTGGTCCATAAATAATGCCCCCTAGCTGGGGACTAAGGCTCAGGCTTTTCTTGGAGAAGGGGTAGGAGGCTGCTGGGACACGCAGACTCCAACCCCAGTAAAGCTGGTCCCTGATTCCCTGGGGGATTCAGCCCAGAGCCCCCAGTGAGGCACCAAAGGGACAGGGAGGCCCACAAAGGCAAGGGCCAGAGCCTTACAGGCACAGGCCTCAGACGTGAGGCTTTAGGTCATGGCCTGCTCTGCAGGTTAGGGCCTAGGAGGGGCAGCGGTCCCGGAGCAGACGCAGAGCATAGCGGAGCCGCTGCCGCAGGTCTGGAGAGCAGCCCAGCTGGCGCAGGTGGGAAGCGAGGTAAGTACAAGCACTACGGTTGCGGGCCACGAAAGTCACAAGCAGGGGCTCCCAGCCACTGAGGATCAGCTTGGTGTGGTCTCCGTAGAAGTTTACCTGTGCACAGAAGGGTGGCACTGATCAGGGCCTAGGCCCCAGGTCCAGTTTCCTCCCCAGCACCATGGGCCTCCCAGACCTTCCCCCCAAGTCCAGGAGGGGTTCTCACCTGGACAGTGCCATCACTGAACAGCATGAGTAGGGCCTGATCCGTCTTGACCCACTGCAGCAGGAGTGGGGGGACAGGCACCTCCACCTCTTCCACACTGGGCAGATCTCCACCCTGGGGGCAGGAGCAGGTCACTTGTCTGGCACGAATCACACCCCTCCTCCTTGATGTCTCCCATAGAGGTTCAACCTCTAGCTCTGAGCCCACCAACACTCCCGCCAAGGTGAATAGGAAGGGATTAGGATGTATTAATGCCCCACTCCAGTCCGCACACCTTCATGAGATGCTGCTCCATGTAGGAGGCAAAATACTGGAGGACACCCAGCTGAGGCTGCAGGGCCTGAGGCACAGCACCCACAGAGAAGGAAAAGTGCTTTGTGCTGGTGGGGTTGTAGTGCACAGTCCTGGAGGAGAGGAGACGAGAGGTCAGAGGGAGCCCGGCACTGATGCCCGTTCCCTGGAGACCCCAGGACACCCCAGTGCAGAAGCACACACGTGCTGAGCACAATGGCACTCCAGAACAGCACTTACTTTCTGTTTGCTGAAAGGGCCATGTGTGTGCCGTTGTTGAAAAGCACAGCCACACGGCGGCTGGACAGTTGATACCCAAAGCCAAATTTGTTGGAGTAGTCAACCCACTTGCTGACCCATACCAGAGGCTCCGGCTGTGCAAGGGGAGCTGGGTTCTGTTCCGCTGTCATGGAAGAGGAAGGAGTGAGGACCTGTTCCCCACCTTTCAGCCAAAGAACTCCCAACCACCATTCACTATATCGGACCCTACCCTTACCTGGGGGCATGAAGGCCAGGCAGTTTCTCAAAGCACAGAGGGCTGACTCCACCACTGTGGCCACAGTCAGACCTTCTTCAAACCCTGAAAGGAACAAGGCACCTGGAATTAGGCATTAGTTCGCCAGGACACAGGCCATGTCTCTCTGACACTCCTTCCCTCTGGTTCCTGGTCTTAGCCCCAACAACCTCTAGCACCTCTCATCCATCTCCTCTAGCACCTCTCAGCCATCATGAGATGGCTGCTCACCATCTCCGCTGCTCGCCAGTGTCCCACGGGGTGAACTGTCTTCAGGCACTGTCTCTACCAAGCTGAGGGGGGCAGGACCAGAAGCTGCTGGAGCCTGGATGGTTGGGGAGGGGAAGGGAGTGAGATAGGCCTCAAAATCCAAATCCTCGAGAGTCCGTGGCCCAGCCTTGCCCTGGCAGACAGGGCACCCCAGGTCAGCGCCGCCTGGCTAATGAGACACAGCCAATTAGGCCTCCGCGAGGCTAGATGCTTCACTAGCTTCTTTTATCCCAGGCTTCCTGCAGCAGCGAGGGTGACAGTGAGTCAGGGCACACTACCCATGTGGTCCCTCACCTCAGGCCTGGCATCCTGACGGCCAATGGACGTCCGAGTGAGGCCATTCACCAAACAGGAGACCTCATCCCGCTCCTCAGGATGGTTTTTACCTGGGTGGGGGAAGATACAACCCTCATATCCTGCCCACCCCCACCCCCAGACTTCCTGCAGGGGTACAGATGGGCACACGCTCTCCCCAGGGGTTCAGAGGTGTTCACACTCATGCCCCCACAATACAGGCACCAAGCCCCCCTGCCACGCTCTACCCTCCACACCACTGACATTCCAGACTTACTTTTCTTCTTCCTGCCAAAGAGGCTCTTGGTAACTTTGACAAACAGGATCCTAGCTGGGTTAAGGGGTATCAGGTCTGGGACTGTCACACAGCTGCTGACAGGGAGCCGGTCAGGGGTGTAGCCCTAAGGAGGGAAGTCAAAGTCAAGTGAGCAAAGAAGGGAGGCCCCAGGAGTCCTGTCACCTACCCCCACTGAATCCCCTGGGAACATGCAGAGTTGACTTAGATGTCTGGGGAGCCACAGACCTTGGTAAAGAAGTCATAGCGCAGGATCTGGTCAATTGAGGGGCGGTCTTGGGGCGAGGCTCGAAGGATGGCAGCCAGGAGCTGCCGGGCAGGCAGCGAGAGGCTGGCGGGCAGTGTGTAGTGAACCTGTTTGATGCAGCGATATGTCTCCTTCAAGTCAACTGTCTCAAAGGGGGGATTCCCGCACAGCAGTGTGTACCTGAAGGGCAGAGATGAGGGCATCAGGACCACAGCGGAAGGTACACCCCACCCGGGCCCCCACCAGTGTACGATGACCCTGGGGCTCACATGACACAGCCCAAGGACCACACGTCTGCCTCAGGGCCATGGCCCTGTCTCTGCAGCACTTCTGGAGCCACATAGTTGGGGGTGCCACAGATAGTTCTGAAAAGGGACAGGGAGGAAGAAAGAAGAAGGTTCAGACCCAGCCTGGCTAGCCCCCCCCTTCCCTGCCCCCACTGTGAGTCCAGACAAAGCAGCTGCCTGTCACCAAAGGCAAGAGAACTCCTGCTTGTCCTGGGACAATGGATGCTGGGGATGGCAGCTGAGTCCCCGCCCACCCGCCTGGCCCAGCTGCTCAGCTGCTTGGCAGGACAGGGGAGGCCTTGACCCCCACCCCAGCCCCCTCCTCCAAGGTTAGCAGAGGGTCCATCATGGATCCTTTCCTCAGACAGTCCCCCACTCCCGTCTGTCAGACACCCATACAGGCTGTCACCTCCTATGGTCTGTGCCACACACAAACCAACACCAGCTGTCCTATTCCCCCAAAACACTCATCGGCCGCACATGCTATCTGTTGTCACTCACACCCAGTCATCGTGGCCACAGCAGGGTCTTCTTACACAGGGTGTCATGTCCTGCCATTACCATACTCAGTCTGTCTCACACACACATTGCTTATGTCACCTTCCCCAATCCACACATAGGATCAGGTCCAACATCTCCAAGAATCCTTACACCCCCATCTGTCTCAGGGACTCCAACACCAACAGGACCCTCAGCCTTTCCACCAGTCCCTGTAACTCCAGCTGCCACCTCCACCTTCCCCCCACACACACACAAACAACCCATCATCCCTTTCCTATCTATCACACACACACATCAGGCAGTCATCATGCCTCCCACATACATAACTCACTGTCACGCACGTCATCGTGTCACACAGACCGTGGCCACCCCTCTCCTCAAACACTCACTTCTTCCTATGTTCCGGGGGTTCCAACCGGGTTGCCAGCCCAAAGTCCCCCATCTTCAGTTCCATGTTCTCAGTGATAAAAAAATTCCCTGAATGGGGGCAGAGAGGTGTGTCAGAGTCCTTTCTCTCTGCCGCCCCAACCCCCAATCCTGCTGGCCCGGGAGTCTCACCCAGCTTGAGGTCTCGATGCAGGATGCCCCGCTGGTGCAAGTACTTGAGTCCGGAAAGGATCTGGCGCAGGTAGTAGCGCACCTCTGGCTCCAACAGAGTGTGCCGAGCCTTCCAGATGTGGGCCAGGGACTGCAGAGAGCCACCACTTCAGCCCCTGATCCGCCCTCTCTGACCCTCCCTCCATCTGCGCTTACCGAGGAAGAGACAGGGCTCCAGCTTTGGGTCTTAAGGGCCCCTTTTCCCTCTCCCACTCTCACAGCCATCGCTCACCTTTCGGCTGCAGAGTTCCAGGAAAATGTATATGTTATCAGCATCCTCAAAGTGGTGCGAGAAACGTACGATGTGGCGGTGCTGCAGGCCGCGGTGCAGCTCAATCTCGTTTAGGATCTGCAATGGGGGCGCGGGGTGGTCATCCCTCAAGGGCTCCCTCACCACTTTCCCCACCCCACCCCTGGTCCGCTGGGCCCGGGCCCACCTTCTCGCGCTGATGCGGCTTGGTGATGCGGCTCTGTGAGATGACTTTGACCGCGTAGGCGTTGCCAGTCTCTGTGTCAGTGGCCTCATAGCAGCGGGCAAAGCCCCCCTATGGGGAGGGGGCATCAGGCAGAGCGCTCCAGGACAGCCAAGTCTGGCCCGCAGACGTCCCCGCGCCGAGGACAAGCGTCCCCGCGCCGAGGACAAGCGTCCCCGCGTCCCCGCGCCGAGGGCAAGCGCCCCCGCCCCACCCGGCGCGGTCAAGGAGGTCAGCAGGGACCCCCTCCTCCCCTCGCTAGCACACCACCCCACCAGTTCACCTTGCCCAACAGGCGGCCTTTGAAGTAGGTGCGACCGCTGCGCGGGTCGGTGATAAGGCGCCCCGGGTCCGTCGCCGGTGGCCCAGCCAGCATCTCCAGCTCAGGTCCCGGCGTGGCACTCCCAGGCGGCCCGGGCCCGGCAGGGGGCGCGGGCGGGGCGGCCGCACGCTGGAAGTGGCGCGGGGATAGAAAGCTGGCGGCGGGCTCCATGCAGGCGGTGCGTCGCAGCGCGGGCCCGGCTTGTTTCGGTTCCGCCCGGCCCGGGCCGCGCGTGGCGCTGCCGGGATTTGCTACGCTGCGCTCGCGCCCGAGGGAGCCCGGCGTTTTTATCAATGAACGCCTGTCTCCTCCCCGGCGTCTCGTCATTAAGAGCCCGCCCCCTTCCAGGCGGTGAGTCACCTAGAAGCCACGCCCCTCCCGGGCCTTACGTCACCAAGAAGCTCCTCCTCCCACTCAACGCAAGTCCAGGCCCAGCCTCCCACCCACGCCTTAAAGAGCAACAGTGCTGGTGGTCACCGCGTGGGTGCGACCAGAATGTAGGGGTCAGCCGTTTCTCCGTACCCCTCTCCCTACGCCCTGGTGACCGAGAGTCCCGTTCATGGGGGTCTCTTTCTTTCCCCATCTTTCGGGGCTTTTTCTGAAGTCTGAGTGGGGCTGGGTATCAGGGGAGTCTCCCCCCAGCAACTAGATAGACCAGCGATCCTGGCGGGAAGGGAGAGGCAGGGGCGGCGCTCGCTTTCGCCAGGGGGCGTCACCAACACTTCCTTTTAAGTGCGCGAGATCTTCGCCCTGGTCCCGTGCCCTAGGCCAGAGCCCCCGGGCCCCAGCCTGGTACTACCCCCTTTGGGGCTTGGGAAGAATTGCACAGTCCTGCGCCTGGCTTGGGACGGGCGGGGGCGGGTGGAGGAGGGGGAAGCTGCTACGCTTGAGTTTTGGGGTCAGACAGCCCAGCATTCAAGGTTTTTACCCTGTGCCTCGTCGTATCCTCTGTTACCCTGCTCCACAACCTTGAGAGTTAGATCTCGGGTTCTGGCGGGATCCCCCATTCCCTTTCCCTGAAAACACATACTGCTTGAGTCAGCAGTCAGAAGGCCAGAAAGTGAAGAATGGGAATTAGGATTTTCTCAAATCTAGTGCCAGTTGGGCAGGTGGTCCTGGGATCATGTGGACAGCTAGACCCCTAGTTCATGCCCGCCCTTCCCAGGGCCAGAAACAGAGAGGTAGGGGTCTTAACCCCTCTGGAGTGTTTGTCGCAGTTAATCAGAGGCCTCCCCCTGGCCTTGTCCTTCTCACCTCTCTGCCCTCACTCTGTCCCATTCAATCAATTATTAAGCCAGTCAGGCCTCGAAGATCTATTGAGAGTACCTGCTAAGTGCCAAGCACTGGCTGAACAAGGCTGTTCAAGGTTGCAGCCCTCATTTAGTCCACACTCTGCGGGATGGAAACAGACAATAGGCAGGTCATCGCAGGCTTTGAAAAGTGCTATGAAAGAAGTCAACAGAAGAGTAACCAAAGAGCTTATTTTATTTTTTTATTTTTTAAAGATTTTATTTATTTGATAAAGACACAGCAAGAGAGGGAACACAAGCAGGGGGAGTGGGAGAAGGAGAAGCAGGCTTCCCGCGGAGCGGAGAGCCCGCTGCGGGGCTCGATCCCAGGACCCTGGGATCATGACCTGAGCCGAAGGCAGATGCTTACCGACTGAGCCACCCAGGCACCCCGACCAAAGAGCTTGTTTTAGAAAGAGTAGCCAGGAGAGTCAACAAATACTGATTAGAACCTAATTCCTATCAGTTTTATCTCCCCAAAGCTAAAAATCTCTGTGAAGTACCCACTTCCCTCCATCTTCCCCTCACAATGGGAGTTGTAGTCGCTTCCGTTGGCATTATTGATCATTGCCACAGCACCTCGCTTCTCTCCCCGCCTTCACTGTCATCTCCGTTGCATCCTTCCTCCATGTTGCCTGCCCCAGGCCCTCTAACCTCACCCTTCATGGCCACTGATGGGAGAAACCAAACAGCCTGAAATGGGGATGATGACGAATAGCTCAGATGGGGGGGTGGGTGGGAGGTGAGGGGGTGGGGGTGTTTAAGTGCCATAGTCAGGAGTTTGGTTTTTATCCTACAAGTCAACAATTTTCCATTGGGGAGATGGTAGTGGTGGGGCCAGAAAGGACAGATCCACAGGGAAAATGAGGCTGAAGCATGTGTAGTTTGAAAAGGCATATTTGTGGGGCGCCTGGGTGGCTCAGTCATTACGTGTCTGCCTTCGGCTCAGGTCATGATCCCAGGGTCCTGGGATCAAGCCCCACATCGCGCTCCCGGCTCAGCGGGGAGTCTGCTTCTCCCTCTCCCACTCCCCCTGCTTGTGTTCCCTCTCTCGCTGTGTATCTCTCTGTCAAATAAATAAATAAAATCTTTAAAAAAGAAAAAAGAAAAGGCATATTTGAGGGGCGCCTGGGTGGCTCAGTTGGTTAAGCAACTGCCTTCAGCTCAGGTCATGATCCCGGGGTCCTGGGATCGAGCCCCGCATCAGGCTCCCTGCTTGGCCGGAAGCCTGCTTCTCCCTCTCCCACTCCCCCTGCTTGTGTTCCCTCTCGCGCTGTCTCTCTCTCTATATATATTAAATAAATAAAATCTTTAAAAGAAAAGAAGAAAAGGCATATTAGAGTTTGCAATTTTATATTTGGAAAACAAAGCAAAATATCTTCATATTAGTTTGGTAGGGCTGCCGTAACAAAATACTACACCACTAGATGGCTTACACAACAGAAATGTATTTTCTCATAGTTCTGAAGGCTGGAAGTCCAAGCTCAAGGTATTGACAAGGTTGATTCTGCTAAAAAGAAAACCACAGGCCTCAGATGGCGTTACTTGGGCCAGGCCACGTCACCAAGCCAGGGCTTAATACCTGATCTAATTGCAGTTTCCACCACCCCACCACCCCAGAAATATCAATCTTAACCCTCAATCCCCCAAAGAAAGAAAGGTGATCTGCATGATAAGACCCCCTGCTCTTCCTCCTAAGGGAAAGTGACCTTGGCCTGAAACAATCCTTTTATTTTGCTTCTAACTTTCCTGTCCCAAGCTCCTTCCTATAAAAACTTTCCATTTTGAACAAACTCCTCAGATCCCTCCTCAACTTGCTAGATGGGATTCATGACTCATTTAATAAAGCCAATTAGGTCTTCAAATTTACTTAGTTGAACTTTCCTTTTTAAGATTTTATTTATTTTAGGGGCACCTGGGTGGCTCAATCGGGGTCCCTGCCCAGTGGGAAGCCTGCTCCTCCCTCTCCCTCTGCCACTCGTTCCCCCTGCTTATGCACTCTTTCTCTCTCTCTCTCTCTCTCTCTCAAAAATAAAATCTTAAAGATTTTAGAGAGAGAGCCCTCGCACTTCAGTAGGAGCAGGGGGAGGGGCAGAGAGGGAAGGAGGGGGCTCAATCCCACAACCTTGAAACCATGACTGGAGCCAAAATCAAGAGTCAGAGGCTCAACCGACTGAGCCACCCAGGTGCCCCTGAATTTTGTTTTTTCGTTTTGTTTCAAAGATTTTATTTACTGGGGCGCCTGGGTGGCTCAGTCGTTAAGCGCCTGCCTTTTGCTCAGGTCATGATCCCAGGGGCCTGGGATTGAGCCGGCCTCAGGCTCCCTGCTCGGCGGGAGACCTGTTTCTCCCTCTCCCACTCCCCCTGCTTGTGTTCCCTCTCTCACTGTGTCTCTCTGTCAAATAAATAAATAAAAAGATTTTATTTCTTTTTTTTTAAATATTTTATTTATTTATTTGAGAGAGAGAATGAGAGAGAGAGCGAGCACATGAGAGGAGGGAGGGTCAGAGGGAGAAGCAGACTCCCCGCCGAGCAGGGAGCCCGATGTGAGACTCGATCCCAGGACTCCAGGATCATGACCTGAGCCGAAGGCAGTCGCTTAACCAACTGAGCCACCCAGGCGCCCGATTTTATTTCTTTTTTGACAGAGAGAGATAGGGGGAGAACAAACAGGGGGAGCAGCAGAGGGAGAGGGAGAAGCAGGCTTCCCACGGAGCACAGAGCCCCACATGGGGCTCAATCCCAGGACCCTGAGATCATGACCTGAGCCAAAGGCAGATGCTTAACGACTGAACCACCCAGGTGTCCCTGAATTTTGTTTTTTAACAAATTCTTCTGAGGTTTCTCTCTTGGTTTGTAGATGGTGGTCCTCTCCCTTTGAGTTCACATGATCTTTCTTTTTTTAACTTAAGTATAATTGACATACATGTTATATTAGTTTCATGTATACAACATGGATTTGACAATTCTACACATTACTCAGTGCTCGCCACCCTAAGTGTAGTCACCGTACATTATTGTAATAGTGACTACATTCCCTATGGTGTACTTTTAATCTCCATCTGTGTGACTTATTTTATAACTGGAAATTTTTACTTTTTTTTTTAGATTTTATTTATTAACTTCTCAGAGAGAGAGCATGCACAAGCAGGGGGAGCGGCAGGCAGAGGGAGAAGCAGGCTCCCCACTGAGCAAGGAGCCCCATGTGGGACTTGATCCCAGGACCCTGGGATCATGATCTGAGCTGAAGGCAGACACTTAACTGACTGAGCCACCCAGGCGTCCCGAAATTTCTACCTCTTAATCCCCTTTATCTACATGATCTTTTTCTCTGTGTGTCCTAATCTCTTCTCATAAAAACCCCAGTTGAGCATCTGCCTTCAGCTCAGGTCATGATCTCAGGGTCCTGGGATTGAGCCCCGTGTGTTAGGCTCCCTGCTCAGTGAGGAGCCTGCTTCTCCCTCTCCCTCTGCCACCCCTTTGTGCAAGTGCTCTCTCTCTCTCGTGCACGCACCCGCGTGCTCTCTCTCAACTAAATAAATAAAATCTTAAAACAAAATACAAAAACACCAGTTGAATCAGACAAGGGTCCACCTAACAGCTTCGTTTTAACTTACTTACCTCTTTAAAAGTTCAGTCTCCAAATACAGTCACATTCTAAAGTACTGGGGGTTAAGACTTTGTACAGAAGTCAAAACCTTACCACCACCCATCTTAGGTCTTCAGATGAAACTCTTCAATAAAAACATTAATGAAAGAAAAACAAACACAAGTTTATTAACATGTATAACTTGTGCATGGAAGAATGGGAGCTAACCAGGGAAAAATGAGTAACTCTCTCGTCCAGCTTAGAATTCAGGCTTAACAAGATGTCCATCGAGGGCGCCTGGGTGGCTCAGTTGGTTAAGCGACTGCCTTCGGCTCAGGTCATGATCCAGGAGTCCCGGGATCGAGTCCCGCATCGGGCTCCCTGCTCGGCAGGGAGTCTGCTTCTCCCTCTGACCCTCCCCCCTCTCATGCTCTCTCTCTCTCCCATTCTCTCTCTCAAATAAATTAAAAAAATCCTTGAAAAAAAAAAAGAAAGAATTAAAAAAAAAAAAAGAAACAAGATGTCCATCGACA